CCCCCCCCCAACGCTGCACCATTGCACCAACCCCCCACTAGTGATGACGTACTATTACAATGTATCGCTGGTTGGTGGCCATGTTTGCGTGTTTGCTAGTCGTTAGTGGTCTCTCCACCGTGTGCCTTTTTCTGTCTCTTATTTCTTGTTATTTTCGGCCTGGTCCATTTTTGTCCTCGCTCTTTTTAATCATTTTCTCTTTCCTTACTGTTTCCTCTTTTTCTCTCTTTTTCTGTGCCAGATGGCCTTGTTTCTCCTAACGTTGTGAAATACCAAGATTGAACCAAGGGGGTGTACCTTATTCTCTCCGGCCCGTGATGGTGACCCCTAGTCTCAATTGTCACCTCGCATAGCGCGCAGAGGGAGTGGAGGACTCCAGAGTATCTGGCGTTGATTTCTATTGACTTGCGGACCCCTCCGGGCCATTTTATTTGAGTTTACATTTTTAGGGGAAGTTAGCCTACGACCACGGGAATCGACCGCGTCGAGTGTTGTATCAGTACGGACATACGAAGGTACTAGGTAGAGAGAGATCGGAACAGTTTTTAATGTGAAGACGGCAACAACAACAACAACAACAATGCTTGAAGCATAGAAAAAAAAGCGATCAAGCTTTATTGTAGCCACACTTCAGTATCTCACAGCCACACTCAAGGTCTCCTACAAATTGTGTTCTCAGGTGCCATGCATAGGAGTGCAGAGGGGAAGAGAGAGGCCATCATGAGGCGATGTCCTCTTGCTGATGATACGATGCCCTCGAGTCTAAAGTGTGCGTTACAATCGTTGTGTAGATCACGAACATTTGTTATGTAGACAAAGCAACGACGGGGCCAAGCGGCCTATTCTACGGCAGCGGAGGTGCTATCTTTTGGAGTTCGACGCGGCAGGTCATTGTTTCCTCGCTTGGCGCCGAAAATTACTTACCGGCCCATTCCGTCACCGTCTTCAGAACCAACTGTTTAACCCTTTTCAGGGTTATCGTCCGATATCGCTTCCAACATCAACGAACCGCCTTCAGCGCGGGAGGATCCGTGGGTGGATCCACTTACTGCACGACGGGATTGTCTGTCACCCACATAAACAAGCGTGGTGAAAGTTGGGCAACGAGACAATATCTGGAAGCAAAAAAAAACGCTCCAGTGTAGTGGCATATTGTTGTCATACCTAACTGCTGTGTGTAAAGCCGCCCCCCTAACTGCTGTGTGCAGCGAAACGAACAGCAACAAACAACCCAGAACCGCGCCAGTGCCAGTTTGGGGTGGGCGGGGGTACGCACCACTCCCTTCACCCCCCCCACCCCGCCCGCACCCCGTGAAATGCGATGCATTCATTTCCCGTCCCCCCCTGGGTCTTTTTCTCGCTTTGTTTGGTCCTGCGGTCCCTTGCTCACTCCATTTCACCGCTCGTGGTCCCTCGCCTACCAACTTGGCAGCTGTTGCGAGATATTAGTACATCAGGAAGGGCCTCTCTTTGAGGAGACTTTGGGAATCGGGTGCGCTGGACTGGAGGCAGGCAGACAGGGGAAAAGGGGGTGAAAATCGAGAACTTATTTGCTTGATTTTGGGGTCCGCTCCTCTCAAAGGCGCGGCGACGAGGAGCGAGCAGAGGGCACGCCGTTCGGTAGAGACAGGGGGGTGGAACGAGAGCACAAGAGAGGGAAGAGACAGGGCGGTTGGCTGGGTGATGCGCAGCAGCGAGAAGAACAAGGTTGGGGGCGGCTTTGCGGGACTCTTTCGGTGGAAAAAGGTGCGAAAATCAACATCTCGCTTGCTTTGGTGTTTGCGTGCGTGGCCTCAGATGGCCGTTACTTTTGCCTTTTGCCGATGCAACCAAGCTGCTGGACTGGAGCTCCGACTCGGCGATGTGGAACGCCGTAACTGCGTGTGGACAAGCAAGCCATGTTTCCTTGCCCACCTTTCTACGCGTTGGCTCAAACTGAGGCTGTTCCCGACATAGAAGTGGGTGGAAAATACCAGAGCGAGCCAACAAGAGCGTGCCGTCTTGTCTGTTTGGAAACTATTTGTAATAAATTAAGGAGAAATAAATACACGCACAGAAAGACTACCCATTCGAAATATAATGACACCCCCAATACGGAGCTACTTTCAGATTTTGGGGCAGGCACGGGCTTGGCGGGGAGTTTTCGCCCACCTCCTCCCTCTACCACGTCGACAGGTGTTGCTTGCCCTAGTTGCAAGGACATCGACTCGACCCATCCCCTTGGCCAGAGGGTACTGCTGTAGCCACTGTTAAATCCTTTCGCATCCTTCCTTCGACGGACGCGTTAGGGGTAGAGAGAAGGTAAAAATGAGTCGCTGTTCAGGCAAGTTTTTCTCTTTTCTCTCCCAGATCCTCTGTCATGTGTTTGCTATCTGTGTTTATCATACGACATGAGAGGCATTTCTATCTTCAAGTACTCATGATACACGGAATGTTGCCTATGGTTCATTTTTTCTATTTTCCCTCATTTCCACCAACATATTCCGGTGCTCGTTGAACAGCACCAGTGCTGTGAGCGCTGATTTGAAGTGAAGACAAGACAAAAAAAAAAAAAACGCGGTTCCGGCGACATGTTCTACATTGTTTTGTTGTTTGTTGTTGACTTCACATTAAACCGTATGCCAGTTGCTAAATGCCAAAATCTAGCAAAGACTCTCGGCCCGTGGTCACGAAAGTGCTGGAGCCATCTGAGGATCTACATGGTACGCATTTTTTTTTTTGGTCTTCACTTCAAAACAGCGCTCACAGCACTGGTGCCGTTCACTCCTGCCCATCGGCCGCCTCTTTGTCCTATTTGCTCCGTTACTCCCATGCCCTGGTGCGTAGTGCCTGGTGCTGGTACGTTACCCTTTGATTGTTTCTCTGGGCGGGTGTGGGAAGCGTCCTCCTGCATTTTTTTTTTATCGGTTTCCGAGGGCTCTTTTCTCGAACGGTCGGTGCGATACGTCTTCTTTTCTTTCTTTTTGTTTTCTTTTTCCGAGTGGCTTGAACCCTATTTTTGTTTTGTTTCCCCGCGGCGTCGTATGTGCCGGGTTTCGAGACCACGGGCTCCCCATTTTTTGTGAACTACAGAGCTAATGTGAGAAACAACAATAACTCCGACCCGTGGTCACACAGAAGAGCCTCTCTCTGCCCTCCCCTCCTGCGAGAAGAGTTCAGCACTCTGTTCCCTCTGTGTACACACGAACTAGCGCTATCCACTAGGCCAGGAGCGGAAGCGAGGGGAAAACTCACCTTGCAAGAAAAGCTCGCGTACGCCGGGATTCGAACCGCTCAGCTGACCTCTAGTAGAAGGTTTCGAGGATACCAACCAGACCACCAGAGCGACCGGTTCTGTATGAATACCATGGTTCGATTGTATGCACAAAACGGGCGAAGAGGATGTACGCTACAGTACTCCAGCAGAGGGAGAGCGGGAACTTCTTCCTGTATCCTCCTCAAGTAAGAAAGCCAAATCGAAGTGCTTCGTATGCATTTTTTCGTTGTTTCCCATTTGTTTCCCCAGGTAACCTGCATTTGGGCGATTTGAGACGGGTGGACAAAAACGAGAGGCCGCGGCCGATGAATTCGATTTGTAAATTTGTAAATTCGTCGGGGTTGGCACTGCCAGCAACCCGCACACCACGCATAACCGTCGCACGCACCACAAGCGTACGGCACGCGAAGCGTGCCGTTCCCAAGAGAACTTCCAGCCATCAGATGTCCAAAGAACTTTGATGCCAATTTTTGCCACCAGCTTGTGGCGGCAAGAAAGCTAAGGTGTATACAACGGCAGAGCAGGCAGCAGAGGTCGTGTGCATTGCTTCGCTTCTACATTATTATCTTGTATCACGTCGAACGTGTCGTGCACATGTTGCTGAGTAAAGCATTCCCTCTATTTTCGCTTGTGCGAAAAAGGCTTGGAACAAATGGAACAAATGGCCTTGAACTCATCCGGCAACCTATGAAACCTCGCCAATTTCTGGCACGTACCTCAGAAAACCCGTCACGTCTACTGCAGGTACCTCCTACCCACACGGACCCTAAAACAAGAGGGAAAATATGCGGCAGTGCGAACGTACTTTCGTCTTGCGAAACCAGTTTCGAAACATATGCGATCTGCGAGGCCCCCGAGTATGGACGTCTGAGCGGTCGAAAACTACGATAATGTAGGATGCTAAGCACGAAACCTTAGGGATTTACAGATATCGAAATTTGAAAAGAGAACATTGAATGAAAAGTACGAAGTTCGTGATTGCGAGCCAAACGCCGGTTTGTAATTGTTGGTTGGGTTCCAACACTCCTTGTAGCCTCAGCACAGAGTATGAGTTTCACGCTGATGTCTGCGGTCGTTTCCACAGGCCAGCTATTTGTTGTGTTGGATGCAAAACCGCTAAGTCGGAGGCACTTTCGCTGCCTGCAAAGCTGGGTGTGTTGTGCACACGGAGCTGCGCAAGGCATGTGACAATATTCCGATGTACAGCAGCACGAAATTGGCTTGGTTGCCCCACCTGCCTCCGCCCTGGCGGCTAGAGAAGGACGACAAAGCGACCATCGTCGCGGGTCTGGTGCGTACAAGGTCGGAGCTACGCTAGCAGTACCATTGGTCATCGGTTGGCGGAACGGCTCTACATGCATGTCGGTGCAGTCTTGAGCCACCATTTCCAGAGAGCAGCACACGGATTGATGCTTGTCGCGGAGATAGGGTTATTGGATTACGACGCCCCGTTTCGTGAATGACGGGCAACTCAAACCAATCGGTCTTACATTGTCAAACGCCAACACGTGGCCTGCGGAGAGGCCGCGGGCAACCACGCCGCTGGGAAGTTTTTTTTTTTTTGCACTCAGTTTGAACTCTTGGAAACGCGAAAGATCACTCATTTCCCGGTTTTCTTTCGGGAGTTCTGCACCCTCCCAGGATTTAGTCTAAGCAACAAAATTGATTAAGCAAACATATGGGATCAAGTATTCAATCCGTGACTCGGGGTAAGGGTTAGGGATAGGGTCTGCGTGCCCCCTCCCTATTCTTTTATGATGCGCTCTTATAATCCTGCGTAGGTGGTCCCTCCCGGGAGCCTCTATGAGATAGGTCTGCCCCCGCCCCATACCGATATCCGTGTGGTCGCCTGTGGGCTACCTCACAGGGCAACCTCGACCCCAGCGCCAGGAACGTGCGTAACAACGTTTACGAGCGGTTGCGCATTTTGTGCGTGTTTCCTGCTTTCCGAAGCTCTAAGCTTGCTCAAGTCGCTCAACAGCACTGCCTAGGCAGAGGTAACCGTTGGAGGGCTATCTACCGCAGGTCGTCGACGGCATCATCCACTCTGTGATGAAATATTTGTGGCATACGTGCCACAAACCAGCGTTTCTGTCTCCGCCCCTATGCATAGGCATGCTGTTCCTTTGTTGGAAGTCAAACTAAACAGAGGTATGTTTCAGAATGAACACCACCGCGCTACCCTTAGACTTAACAACGGAAGAGTATTTTTTGGTGTCCACCATCGTTCTGCGGTTGGAGTGCGTCATCTTATTGGTCTCCGCTCTGTTGCAGGCCTTCTTGTGTTTTGTATGTATAGGATGAATATTTGCCACACTTTTCGATGTTTCGCAAACGTCACGATAGTGCTTGGTGACAAGCCAAGCTTCGCGTGGTGGCCGCGTTCTAGTACCTGCGGACTACAGTTGTTTTTCAAAACAGTTCCGACCGCTCTACCTAGTATCTCCTTTTCTCCGTACTGATCAAACCCTTGACGCGGTCGATTTCCGTGGTCAAAGGCTACCTTACCCGAAGAAAGGTTGTGAGCTCGAACAAAATGGACCCAAACAGTAGAACCCGACACTTGATGTCCGAAGCGTTGCCTTGTGCTCTCGCGGTACAATATTCCTTCCGTGTGGTCATCGCGCTCTTTCGCTTTTCTCCCGCGCGGTGAACGCCCCCAAAACCTATCAGAGCCCAACAAACGCTACGGCCTTCGACGTTACCGAGCCCGTGTCCAAGACTCCGAACTTGACTCCCGTGGTCCGGCAAGAGGTGATGGTAGACCCTCCCACGTCTCGCGAGCTCAAGTACGAGTGCATCAGCGAGTCACCGGTGAGTTTAGCTACACATTCTCTTAGCTTTTGTTTTTTCCTCCACACGGTGTGTGGCGGTTTTGGTTCTACAACTGTGGTACGGCATGTACCGGGGGTTCGTGGCCGGGCTTAACGCAGAAAGCTATGCTCTGCGGCGGTGCTGTCTGCTTTTGCAGCCCCACTGTGCATGTGAAGCATCACCCCCCTGATGGGTTTGGCATGACCTGCCCGAGTTAAAAGTAGAAGTAGACACTGCTGTAGTGCTTCCCTCGTAGCATTGGCGAGTTGTCTGCTGCGATTGTTGGTCAGGCCGGCAGTAGCGCCAGTCTCTTTGTCCTTGAACGTAACCGTAGGTATTGCCAAGAACCGGGTTGGTAGTGCATGGACTTTCGACGGCAAACATGGTTGAGACGGCTGTTGAGACGACTGTAACCTTTGTTTCGGAGGCGAATCCGAGACACAGACATACACAGTACCTGTGTAAGCACCCGATCGCGCGGGGTTTTCGGGAACATTCTCCGCGTTCTTTGCCTCTGGAAGACTCTCTCGTTTGATAGAAGGGGTGCTGGCTCGCTGCCCTCTCCTCCCCTTTTCGACTTGAGACGCCTTCCTCATCACCCCACCCAAAAATATTGTCGCTCCCCGTCGGCCTGTCGCTTCAGGCATACAAAGGGTGGAGAAGTATTCTCCGACGGAAAATCCGGGGGCCGCAGGGCAAGATTCGATCGTATGACGTCATCACCCAGGAGCACCCGTCCGTTCTCGTCTTCACGTGGGATACTCAGGTGATTTTGTGGTGTTCTTGATGTTGATACTCGCATCGTTTACTCGACGAACGACACGAGTTGTGTTCTCTGCAACCCAGCGTCTTTATTTTTTCTACGCTGGTCAAGTTGGCGAAATGACTCCATGCAGACTTCTTGGGCTAACCAAACACGTCCAGGGGGTGGGAAGCCCTGACTGAGACTGCTCGGCTCTAGCCTCGATGCGCACCTGCGCGGAACTCGTGCGACGGTTATCGTGGGCATTTTTTTTTTTTTCCTGCAACCACAGCGGCTGCTCGTTTAGTTTGTGTGTACAGGTAACAAACCGCTGCTCATGCAGTTTTGAGTGCAGACGAACGCACGTGTATGTATCCAAACATAATGTTGCTCGACTACTTTTCTCTCTCGCACTGGATGTTTGTTCTCCGATGCTGGCTGCTGCTTGGTTTCGGGGCAGACCAACACGACGACGATACTAAAGGAGTATTACCCGGGGATGAACCGCCTCATGTACGGCGTCGTGGGCGGCAACTACGAGGCGGACAAGCACACGTCGGCGTTACAGGTGACTGGTTGATTTTTTTTTTTTCTATGTTTGCGTGGCTGATTGATTTCGTCGATGGTGTGTGAGCTGCAGAGGGAGAGGCGTTGCAACAGGAGCGGTAGCGTTGGTCGATGGTGCATGGTTTTTAGAGTGAGACACAAGGAGGCAATGCACGGAAAGGAAAGCAATACGGCACGAACGGAATCGCGATATGTACGTTGCGGCAGGGTGGAATGGTGGCTACAGGGGTGGGGGAGGTGGTCGTACTAGTTTCTAGGCAATGCCCTGTTGCTGCAAAGGCAGGCTCAAATCAGACGCCTCTCCCCCTTCAGACGGGATGGGCAATGGAGGTTCCACCAGTGAAGAAAGGGAGGCACGGAGATGGTTGGATGGGAGGCGGGGGCGGGCCGGAGGAATGCTTTCCCGAGGTCTGGCTTCCCGAGGTTTGGCTACAAGCGAAGATCAGAAAAACCGACGGTTGTGGGAATAGGGGGTGATGAAGGAAGAAGCGCACCCCCTGGAGTTGAATGTGCTTCCCGCCTCATCCCCGCAGTCGCGGTTTGATCTTGAAGCTCGCACCGAATAGCAGGACATTTTTCAGGGGCCCATGTCGGAGGTTGCAGACGATGCTGGTCCGTTGTAAAGGGAATGGGGAGTCCAGGGTCCAAGGGTCCTGCCGTACGATACATATTGCGTGTTGGGTGCGGCATGTGTTAAGTCTTCGTCCCGCGTCTCGCGTGCACGATGGTACTGGTGCGATGGCTTGCTCCCTCAGGGTCATCGCGCACGCGTTATTGCAATCGGTAGTTTCCGTCTCCTCTGGTTTCCCTCTCTCGCGTACGTACGTACGTGGCGAGTCATATCGAGGTGCTCATTTTCTTGTTTCCTTCCACTTTCGCCACGGCACACGCACAGGCCGCTGCCTGCGAGCTGGAGGAGGAGGCGCATCTCCACGAGGGCACCTGGTACGCTCTGATGAAGGACGAGAGGACGGTGGCCGGGGCGGGCAAGTATTCGACGCAAGTGTTCCACTCGTACCTTGTCGTCGACCCCGTGGTGAAGGGCACGCCGAGAGGGCTTGACGACGGGGAGTTCATCGAGTACATCCGAGGCGTTTCCCTGGAAGAGGTGCGAGAGAGTGACGGAGAAAATATTTGTATAGTTGTTTTGGTTTTCACTTTTTTCTGCACCGTATATGACACATGATAACACACCCCCTGGACCAACTTACAAAACTCGAGTACGCCACGACGAATAGGATGCATACATGAAACAGTACATTTTCGGAAAGCTCTCGACAAGACAGCTTCAACAACGCCACTGTTTTCGGCGCTGACTATTTCTGTTGTTGAGAAATCGAGATTCGAAAATCGGTCCAGGGGGTGTGCTGTCTTGTGTCATTTACGGTATTCCACTTTTCTTTGATGTCTTTGTTTCGAACGCGGCCGGGGTGGAGTACTGGTCAACGATCCCTGGATGCTGAAAAGTTCCAACCCTGTCTTGTGCATGGGTGTGTTGTGAGGTCTCAATGCGCGGTTTAAGCGGCATACCCTCGATAACAGGCGAGCGGGGATTGGCGGATCTTCTGTGTCACCGTATATCTTCTCTCTTCTGTTTTTTGTAGTAGTATTCACTTTGTTTTGTTGTGTCGTTTTATCCACAACGTGGATGTTTTCCTTGCGTTTACTCGAGCTATACATAACGCAGCGTGCCCGGCAAACGCCTCGAGAAGCCTTTTCCCGTCAAAACCACAGGGGCGAATCTCGCGATAAAGATCAACACCTTGCTCGAGGAAACTGTGTCCCTTTCCTACGACCTCAGTTGCTCGGCCGAAAACGGTTGCGGTTCTAGTGGTGTACGAAGTACACTACCTCTTGGTGGAGACGTTTGTTTTAGTTATTTATACATGTTTCTTGTGTCCATGTTTTAGTGCTCACCGCCCGCTCCCCCGCGTGCTTCCCGGCTTTTGTCCCTCCCGACGGGCCTCCGATATTTGTTGCTACTATCAATGGTCCGAAAAATAGGTGCGCGCGATGATTCACTCAGGGGACATGAGCGTAACATCCGGGTTTGCGGCTCTCATGGCCATCGAGAAGCTGCGGGAGCTGGGACACATTATGTGATCCATTCCCGCCGTAAGTTTTGCTGTGTTTTTCGTGTGTTTGGGTCTCTCTGCCGTTTCTTATTTTTGGTGTTTTACAAAATATATGAATTTGTTGTGCTGTACTTTTGTACTCTTGCATGGAAGTGGTTGAGGGTGGTCAAGGGGGGGGGGGGACAAGCATGCTTTTTTCGTGGAATGACCACCCGCCGACCGTTTGTTCGAGGTGTTTGGGGGGCAACAGGGGGGGGGAAGGGGGTGAACAAGAGACGATGCGGTTGAATTCACAGCTCGCGGGAGGAAACGGGCGGAATGTGTGTGGGCTTGGTCCCAGACAGACGTGCGACCCGCACCCGGTGGCACTGCTGTACGGTTATCCGAGGCATGCAGCGAAGTTTGCGGAGCTTGGCTCTCGCGATATGTGGCTTCATGTCTCTGTACCTCGTCCCCAGTGGTCGCTCACACACTTGCGCGTGTGACTTCCTTCGGCGGTTATATTTCGCGCCCTCCGCTCGCCGCCCACGGACAAGGCTGCCCCCCCCCCCCCCCCCCCNCCCCCCCCCCCCCCCCCCCCTTACCCCCTGGTTGTTGAATCGCCCGCTCCCGCGGCGGTACCTGAACTGTTGTGTTTGGTCATCGGTGTTCACTGGGCGAGTGTTGCTGTGTTTTTTTTTCGTGTTTCGTCCACCCTCGCGTCTCTCGATGGCTTTGGTCTTTCGACGTTGTTTTGTTTGTGTGTATTTTTTCGTTTCTTCTGCTTGCTGTGCCTTAAGCCGAGGTGTCTTGTTGCGGTCAGCCGCCAGAACGAGGGACAGTATTGCTATGGTGGGAATTTACACTCCAACCAGCTGTAATGGCGGCTGATGATGAAAAGGCCTTGGCAGCGTTGTCGAGGGGGTCATTCTCGGCTAGAATCGGCGCGAGGGTACTTTTTTGCCGACTTGGAAAACCTCAATAAGGCATGTTTGTTTCTCGGAGAGAGGGGGTAGGGTATGGGTCGGGAGTTTGTCGATATATTTGTCCCCGATTCCAGCGTATGCCAGGAGGATGAGAATACGGAGAGGGCACTTTTCCAATCGTTCCCTCGATTTCGGTTTCGGGTGAGACCGTGCGCCTCCGGCAGCGGCGGTGGCGGCGGCAACCTTTCGTCTAATTGGTTGTTTCTGATATAGAACGCCCGATAGTTTGTTAAGGATCAGGGAGGAAAATTGTTTTTTGACAAACGAATTAAGGATTATTGACCTGTCATGATACAGGAGTGGGTGTCATGGGAAAAATGAGACCCAGGCACGGTAGGAAACCTTTCGCGCACAGCCCCTTGTGGATTGTTGTTGGGCTTGACCAGTTCGGAAGTGGACGGATGTGTGCTGGGACGCGGGTTCGACCACGCTCTGTATTCCCCCGAACGCGTGCAGCATGGTTTTGGCGAGATGAAGGAAGACAGGGGTTGAAGTGACGATAGAACGGTTTTGTTCGCCAGTGCCATTCTTGGCTTGGGGTCGTCGTTGTTGTAGTGTGAGGGAAAATGTTATGAGGGGAACAGGCGGGGAGAAGGGAGGAATGCAGGCTTGAGACGGAAGGACAGGTGATATCATGCGCGATGAGTGTGCGTAACATGCGACAATAACGGCAGTTTAATGTGTCAAACCGAACGCATTGCGTCCTTTGAACAACCTCTGGAGGACTGCATGTTGAGCGACCGACATCGGATGAGATACCCAGTTGGGGGGATAGGAGCATCTTGAAGCCGGCGAAGGTGGCGAAGTGACTCACCTCGGCATGGGTTACTACGCAGTCGTCGAATGTTCTCGTGCCTACCCTATGCCACAAAAAAATTATACTCCGCTGGGTTGCGAAAAACAAGACCGCGTACCATCTGAACGCGGTGCCGATATAAACCTTGCGTCTCCCCAAAAAAGCAAGTGGTGGCGGCAATCCTCTCACGATTTGGGGGCTTCCCAAATCATAACCACGTTATCCCCTCGAATCAAGAGCTGCTTCAAGTATCTTCGCCGCGCCACCGGCTTCAGCTCGCCTGTCCAAGGCCCTTTCGAACGCGATCGTCTGGTGGACTTCTTCTTCCTCACCTCCGCGGCGGGTATTTCGCCGGTAGCCCCCCCCTCCCCGCCTCCCCCCCTGTTGACGTCACCCCCGTGTCTCCCCGCAGTAGAAAGAGGGGGACGGGGGCGTTTTTCTTCGGCGTCTGGTGTTCTTCCAGTAGGATCATTCTCCTCCCGTTCGCGGGGGACTCCCCATTCCTGCGGCAACAATTTCATTCTCGTCGCCGTTCGAGCCCCGCCCTCCCTCGTCTCGTCCGAACAGGCCTCCTCCGTCGCCGCTCCGGATGCCGCCGCGGCTGCCGCTACATCCATTCTTGGATCTCTAGGATAGATTCTTTCGCTACTCCCGCCGCCGTCGCCGCCATCCTCTCCACTTATTCTTCCACCTTTGAAGCCACCCGTGCCTGTCACGGTCCAGGCCGTCGCACCTGTTGGTTCGGAGCCATCCGCTGGAGAAACGCCGACAGATTTATCGTCGTCGGCCGCTCCAGCACCACCAGCTCCAGCCGTTACCTTGCCGAGGCCCTCGGGGCCCCGTGCATCACGCGACCCCGCACCCCCACTAGCTCCCGCGTGACCCCCCTCCCCCGACCCACCTCCGCCAAGGCCTTCGAAGCCGGTGACCTTGGACGCCGCCGCTGCGTCGCGATCGATCGGGTCCTCTTCCGCAGGCTTCGGCGGCGGCAGTTTCGGGGGCGGCCGCGGCCCGCGGGCCGGAACGAAGGCGGTGTAGTTCTCCCGCACGTCGACCAGCAGCAGGTTCATGTGCCTGTCGAACGCTCTTATCAGCCCGGTGCAGGTGCCGCGGATGCTGAGACGGACAGCGGTCAACGGGAAAAAAGCGCCGACGGCAACAGGAAGGCCGGGAGGGGAGATAGCCGGTTGGGTGGACGTGCAGCTGCAGGAATATCTTCGTTGGCTTATCGGTATGCAGCAGCCGCGAGTAGAGGATGGGGCACAGAAAAAAAATGTGGAGAGTGGCCAATGGCCCTTGTTATCGAGAGCCCCGAATTGCAAAACACCGTTTTGCGATATTTTCAGCTAAGGGGTCGACATGAACAAAAGACGAACAGTAGTCGGAAGAAGCGCCACGTTGCGCCGCCGTGGGCCAAGTTCGGCCGGCCGGGCGAGGGTTCGGGCTTCAGCGCAAACACGCCACACGTGCCTTCGAAATCACGAAGCTGCCTCGTCATCTCGTAGAGCAACCGCGCCACACGTGCCTCGCCATGTCGAAGAGCTTGTCATTCTTTGAATCCAACGGATCTCCTTGAAGGGATCGCTCGCACAGCATTCACTCACCACCGACCCTAACAGATTCTTCGCCCGACCTGGATTTATGTGGAACGGGAGAATCCCGGGCAGATATTGTCACTGCCAGCAAAACACTACAGTATACAACCGTTAAGCTCGTAAGCTGCGGCCAACGAGTCGTTTCGAGGCCATTCATCACAGCCAGCAGCCAAACGGACGGCAAATACACAAACGAACGGTCCCACACCTGTTCACCCTCCGAATCATGACGCTGGCTCGTCTGTTCTCCTCGTGTAGGCGGTACAGCAGGCTGTACGGGCCGGATCCGGCGTACTCCTGAACAATACGCTTGACCGGGTTGAATCGTCCTTCTGGACCACAAGGGGGCGGGGAGTAGGGGAGGTGGGCAGGGCGCACAATAATGTTTTGCATGCCTTAGCGGTTACACCATTGACCACGCCTCCTCGAGAGGACGGATAATTGTTCCCACAGGACCGATCACCGATGGCCAATCGTTCCTTCCTACTTCGGAGGTGGACAGGGTGAGGGAAAACACGGAACCCTTCGAAAAAGACCGACGATGGGTGGATGCGAGAGCCGTTGGTCGAGAGCCGACGCCATGTCGAACGGTTGTCGAGCAACAAAAACTGCAACAAACGAACAGTCGACTGTTCCGGGCTGTGCGTTCGGCGCTTATGTAACAGACGCAGGGGCGGCGACGTCGCTTGCGTTGAAGGCAATGAGTTCGTCGAAATACATAAGTTTTCATATATAAATTCAATTACAGGAGCAAAGTGGGACCAGGCGCCTTGCGGGTTCAAGTCTTGTACCCTGTAATAAACCCCATTACTACATCCAACCCGCCCTGCCCGTGGACCTTGACACAAGGTCCGGTCAAAGGCTACTTTCTGAAATACAATGCTGTGTCCCCTATAACAAAGTTAATCGATACAACCACCACCAACATGCGCGCAATCGTCTCCTCGTACCGGCAGAGTCGGCGGGGTCGGTTTCCGCATCCCCGGCGAGAGCCCCCTCGGCCAGCCGGCGCCGCAAGGCCATGTCCTTGTCCGCCCTCTCCATGTCTGCCGCAGACCTGACCAGCAGACCGTGCCGACCTCTCCCGCCGCCTGAGGCGGGCCACGTCTTTCGTGCCTGGTGAGAACCACGGGGCGAGCCTGCTGCGGCGGGTGGTGGTACTACCCCGGCCCCCCCGCCTCTGTGACCGGAGCCGAAATAACTAACGCCGCTCCTGGAATCTGCTGCACCTCCCACGACAGCAGCGGAAGCGCCTGCTTCTGTTGCCGTAGCGCCTCCGGCGGTGGCAGCCGGACCGGTGCTGGTGGGAGGTTTGGGCAGCATGCGGTAGAACTTGGCGAGGTTGTCGAGGGCGGGTTCTCTTGGAAACGGCGGGCGGAGCGTCTTGTGCAGCAGGGCCTAAAGAAATCCGGAGACCCGGTGCAGAAAAATCGCGGCATGTCCAGGCAGCGGGCATACTCGCGTGATAAGAAACACTGATCTAGCGCGGTCTCAAGCAAGCAGCGGCAGACACAGCGGCAGCAGTCTGGTGTTGCCTTCGCTCCCGTTCGGCCAACCTGCACCTGTCCAAAATGTTTTGCCCTGCTGCAAACTCGACTCTTGATCTCTCAAGGTACTGTACATACATCTTTCAGAGGTTAAATGCTAGAAGTAAGGGACCCATCCTTCAGCGATATTTTCGGGATTCATACACCGCATTCCCGACCGTCCATCCCCACCTGAAGCGGGTCGAAAAACTTGGACCGGAAGTTCAGCTCGTCCCCTGTCGGCGAGCTCCCCGCCCCCTCCCCTCGCCCTAACTCTTTGTTCTCCCTAGCGGCAGCCTCTCTTCCCGCCACCCCGGTCCCTGCACTACCCGCTCCAGCTACCGTCGTGGACATCGTTCCTATCGGCGATAGTGGCGACGACCTTCGGTCAGGGTCGGAAGGTTTCCCTCTGGCAAGGTCCTCGTCTTCCATGCCGAACTCGAGCAACACTCGCCGCAGGTCTTGCGAGGCGACCGATGCAGGGAGCGGCCGGCCGTACTTCTTGAGCAGGCGGGCGGACAGCTCCTTCTCCTTCGAGCCGTACTTGGCCACGATCTCGGCCATCACCTGCATGCGTTGTGTCATCCAGTGTTTTGTCAGAAGACACAAAAGAGAGGGGGTCACGGCTGTCGGCTGGACGTGCTCTCTTCAAGCCACATGTGAGTTGTTGCGAAACGGTGCAATACATACCATGGGTGACTGAAAAAAATTGCTTGCTCAAGCGCCGTCGTACTGGGTTCAGTGCCAGCGTCAGACTGCTGCCTATCATGCATACGATGTCTTTTATAGGCTCGCCTGAACAACAAACGGATGGTGCTGAAGGTTGGCTCTCTCTTGGCCAAAGGCATCTAGCTGCCACTACTGCTGTAGCACTATATTGGCGCTGGCTCTCCTCGCTTGTGACAAAATCGAAGCCTGGCCAACCTGGCATGAATTGCGGCTCTTTCCCGTCCCACCATGTCATACTTCGTCAATGTTCTCCCTCGACCATGGCGCGTCTCGCGAGATACAGATGTAGCTGAAACGCGGCTAACTTGTCAACGCCCGATCTTAGCTGTCTATCTCTCTCAGCTGTGGCCCAGCAAAGGCGTGGTCTATCATGCTTACCTTTGGGTTGAGCTGATCCCTCTTGTTCACAGAGTAGAACACCACCAGTCGGGACCATAGCGACGTCCGTGGCTCCCCCATCCTGAGTGGTTGCCCCTTCCGACGCGTTGCACACGCACTGCACCCCTCTCTTTCTTCTCTCGGTTTCACTGCACTGCTGTGTGCGCCGCTGTGCCGCGGCTGCAGGGTGCAGGGCCCGCAGCGTTGAGTTCGCCTTCAACTCTCTCGTTCCCTTTCGGAGATCGTTGTGGTTCTCGCCGCTTTTCGGAGATTGCGGCGAAGGCAGAGAGCAGAGATAGAGAGAGATCCGCTGCATTGGATCTGCCTGGTTCGTATACGTATGTCAGAATTTCACGCAAAACAGACGGGTGAACCGGGGGAGAGGCGGGCTTCGGGTAGCATCCAGGAGCGGATTTCGGCCAGCTTCCAGGCATGACAACCCTGCCCAGTCATTCCTAGGAAGATTGCCAAAACCGAAGTCTCGAACGGTGAGTCTGGGATTGGTTCGACAACAAGCACGTTGTTTTATCCTTCTCTTCCCCAAGCTTTGTCGTTACCTGCATGAACTCTAGTCGTCGCGATGTAGGAATGGGAGAGTAAGTAGATAAACTACAGGCGTGCCGGTATTGAGACGAAACGCATAGATCATGCTCGTTTCCTTCAACGTGTTTGCTGATGAGCCACAGTTAACATCTCGTCCGCGGTATCTTTCCTTGCCAACTCTGCTCGTCGTGCGGTTGCAGTCGGAAGCTAGCCCCCACACGGGTTATGGCAGAACCACATGGATGAACTGGACGTCCTCTGTGCAGCAGATTCGCGGGGGTAGTGAAGTGAGAGCCACGAGGCCCCTGGCTTGTATGGTTTACAGAAAAATCGTGGTACTATCGATGACACGCCGGTTCCTCGAAGATCTTTACAGAAAAATCTGGCTATCACACAAAGTCACATCTCTTGTGTGATCACATGAGTGCTACTAGCGCTGCTACAGCCGCTTCGGGTCACGGTGATAGCCGCATGAGCAACAGTGACAGCAACACCTACAGCAGTGGGGGGGGACAGGAGAATCGCGGAAGAGAGTCCAGCGGAACCATGCAGCTACTTGACCGTCTCGGGTATGGTCTCGTTTCGCTCCCCGGTTCGCCGATTGCTACCGAGGAAAGTGCAAGACAGAAGAGCGTCCGTCAGGGGCAGCACCGCATTGACGAGGGGTCATATTCCCCGAGATTCGGCCACGAAAATAAAAGCTTTCCAGGTATGCAGGGTGGACGGTCTTCTTCACACGATGTTCGATTTCTCGCAGGAACGACCGGGTGCCGGGGGGGTTGTGGCGGTGTCCAAAGAAGAATCATCCCGGGAGTGCGAAAGCGCAGTGGGAGGTGTTGTTGTGTCGATGAGAATATATGCCCCCGACAGGATAGACTCGTCCCAACTGAACCTAGTGTAGATGCTGCAGCTATCGAATATTGCAATTACCCCACATACGATAGCGAAGGTATTTTGTAGAAACAAATGTTGTCCTGAATACCTTAGACGAACGATTTGTACGGCACGGTCTTCTCTCACATATCAGAATACATGTCCGCGAAGAGTGCCAACCTTCCGAGTCCCCATTCTGTTGGTTTTCGCGCGATCCATCGCTCCACTGCGTTGACCGTATGCCCGACCTGAGGCCACGCCCTCCATGCCTATGCACGAGATTCTTCCTCCGGGCGTCTTCCAACCCACTCTCTCTCTCTCTCTCTCTCTCTCTCTCTCTCTCTCTCTCTCTCTCTCTCTCTCTCTC